GCATGGACTTTTCATGCAAATATTCGGGTGTTGCACAAAAATGTTCAATAATGGTAACTTTTGAAAGTTCCTGCACTTATGTATGAGAAAAACAAATATGAAGTACACCCCAATTAATATTAGAAATATGTGCATATGATGTGAATATGGAGTTGTACCTAAAACATGTTCTAATCCAAACATACTAGTGTTTTTTACTAGTTGGTTCTTGTGAATGTATTTTGAGAACATGGAACTATAAAAAATTCTTGCACTCAAATTTGAGGGGTAGCATTGTATAAATGTAACACTGGATTTTTAAAATTAATTCTTGGGGCACCTGGGTGGCTCAGTTGGTTAAGAGTCCGACTTGGCTCAGGTCACCATCCCATTGTTCCTGAGTTCAAGACCTGCGTCGGGCTCTGTGCTGACAGCTCAGAGCCTGGAGCCTGCTTTGGATTCTGAGTCTCCCTCTCTCTCTGCGCCTCCCCTGCTCACACTCTGTCTCTCTCTTCATCTCAAAAATAAGTAAACATTAAACAAAATTAAAAAACAATTCTTGATATTAATGTGATTGTTCTGTAGCTTTTTAATTTAATTCCACCACCAACATGTTAAACTCACATCTTGAAAATAAAGTAATAGAACGTTAAAGTATCCTGCAAGTGTTAATACATTTGTATTTGGCCAAATACAATTATTTATATTTGTCTCCAAGCAACTGAAACTTAATACTGCGTGCAACTAAAATAATTATACCATGAGTGTGTGTACATGTATATGTATATATGTATTTGTTCATGTATGTCACATACATAAATGTATTATTTATACACACGCTAAAATAAATTCTATTTTAATTTCTCCAATGCTTTTACTCCAAGGGGATTCCAAAAAATTCAAAAGCATTGGCTATCTGGTTTTTGATTATTTCATGCTCCCAGCACAGAACAGCAGTGAGATGGAAAATACATATAGATGCAATCCTGACATCTTAGCTATATACTCTGTAAGCCCAAATACACTATACACATACATATACACGTACACACCCTAAAACAAAATTATACATAACACATTTTTATATTTTTTCATTTATATTGTATCTAATGGAATTAATGGAATAATCAGAAACTGGACAATTGCTGACCCCTTATTTTTTTAGTACTCTCTTGGGGTAAGAATGTTAGAAAAATTAAAACTTCGTATTCTTTTCAAAGAAGTGGCATGCAGCTGATAATGACTGGGAGAACCATTTGGGGCTACATGTGCAGAGAGAGCACACGGACAGCATCCTCATATTTATTCTGTGGACTATATTAATTCTTTCAGAAGTTCAAGGTGGAATATTAAAATTACTAATTTATTATGAGTATTCTTTACAGAACTTTGTCTATGTTTATTTATTTTTGAGAGCCAGAGAGACAGAGCACGGGCAGGGGAGGGGCAGAGAGAGAGGGAGACACGGAATCTGAAGCAGGCTCCAGGTTCTGAGCTGTCAGCACGGTGCTCGAACTCAGACCGTGAGATCATGACCTGAGTGAAAGTCCGATGCTCAACCATCTGAGCACCCAGGCGCCCCATGAGTATTTTAACACATACCTGGATAGGAGTCCATTGTGTCTTTTCTAAAATCTGTAATTATATTGTTTTTTGAAACTCTTTATTTAGATCGAGACCCCAAATCTGGTAAATTAACCTTGATAAGGTGATGTCTTATATTGGCAGAGAAGAATAAAGCAATTAGCTCAGGAAGAAAAGTGAGTTAGAGTTAAAAAAATTATTCTGGACCAAGATAAAGGACTGTCAGAGAAGAGTGTAATATGCACTTGGCCTTTGAAAACAGCATCTGCCACTGAAGTGTTCTTGAGGCTCTGGAGTCAGGCAGGTGCGCCAGTGGTCGCAGAGAACTAACCACCCAGCGTAAGCCCTAGAGTGGAGATTTTGGTCTCTCTTTATTCACCAGAAGCCCTGGAAGAGGTAGTGATTACAAGTTTTGAGTTAATGCGTCCAAGACATTAGTGACTGAAAGTAAGGCCGATCTTAGATGTCCGGACTAACAGTAACAGTAAAAAGAGAGGGGAGGCAAGAAAGTATGAAAGAATCATGTTTAAACCGTGCTAATTGGAGAATTAAAATTAAACAAACTGGCACCTGGCTCACTCAGTTGGTACAGCATGTGACTCAATCTCAGGGTCAGGAGTTCAAGCCCCGCATTGGGCGTGGAGCCTAGTTAAGAAAAAAATGAAAACGCTGTAGATCAAGGCTAAAAAAAGAGCTCCCTGCCTTTTTATTCACTGAAATTTCATTTCAGGAGAGCGGATTTCATTTTAATGACAGCCATCATTGGGCATGCAGACCGATTCACAAGGCCTTCTCAAATTATTCTGTGCATCAGCTCCTGCCAAGGGTATCCCCAATGCTACCGCCAACAGGATGGTTATGAAATAAACAAATGAAATGTCTTCTTGTCCTAAAGGCAGTGATTCTCAAAATATGATCTGGGGACACATGGGGGTCTCTGAGACCCTTCTGGTGGGTGTGTGAGACTAAATTTATTTGTTAATTAAATTAAAATAAATTTAATTTTAATCCAGTCTTTAATTTAATTAAAATAAAATTTAATTAAAATTAAAATTAATTTTAAGTAAAAAATAAATTTACTTAACTTTTCCACTCTCATTTTCATTTGACAATCATATTGCAATAGATTGGCTGCAGAAACAAATACTGTACATGAATCTAGCTGTCTTCTATTAAGCCAGAAATTAAAGATATTTCCAAAATGTAAACACAATTCCACTCTTCTTCCTGAATTTTGTTATTCTGGAAAACTATAACTATTTCTCATAAAATATGTATGTTGCCGTAAAATGGGAGTTGCCTACGTGAAAATCACAACGAACAGACACGGGCTCCAGAAAAGAGGGCATTACAATGTGAGATAAAGGAGGCAGGCTCAGTATGCACCTTTCTGGAGGTGTACCTTGGAAGGTATACCCAGGAAAACATGCAAAAAGTGACCCCTAGAAAAATTCAAGTCTGAAAGTAGTGCCTGGATTAGCAATCCTCATCCTTAAGGGGGGAACGGAGGTGATTAATTTAGGTTCTCATTTTCCTCTCTGTCCCCATCTTTATCCCAACACCATTTAGGTTACTTGGTGAAAACGTAGGCCTACAATGAGAGGTAGCAGAAAGGTCCGTACTCAGCATTGACCGTAAGGAATGTTAAAGGGACTGTCACTTGGTAAGTTTCCTTTAAACCAATTTATGTGATTCAGAGCCTTCCAATGGGAAGGGGGAGGGGGGACAGGGGAGATACTGATAAACGGTGGTATTCCGTAAGGGGAGAGAAATAGATGTTCAGCCAGTTAAGATTTTCACTAGAAGCTGAAAGATATTCTTTCTTCTCGTCATAATTTAAAATTTTCTCACTAGTTAACCGAACGAGTGATTCTTGGTGTGAGAATTTAGATGTTAAGTGAAATACTCACAATGAAATCATTTTGGGGTGTCTGATGTTTGTGAGAATAATAAAAAAAACAACAACTTTAGATCTTATTGGAAACACAAGGCCAAAATGTAGCTTTTGCACAAATTAAGAAGCACGGACCAAAGCCTTCAGATTAAAAATTGCATTTGCCTACCTCTAAATCGGGATAAAATGGGCACTAGTGGTTTTGGAAAGCGTAGATGGCTGTGAAAGAAAGCCCGTGGGGGCGTCTGACCCCTACCTTGGAGGCACCTTGTACACGTACACGGGGCGGGGGCCGGGGGCGCGATCTCCCGGCGGCTGCGCTTGCGCCTCTTGCCGTCCTTCGGCGCCTCGGTCACCGCCTCCTTGGAGCCCTCCTTCGGGGCGGGAGCGGACTTGGCTGGCTCAGGCAGGGCCGGGAGTAGTTGCTGAAGGGCTTGAGAATAAGAGAGAAAATGAGAAGGGGGCTCTACGTGCCTCTGTTCACAGCTTGTTAGCCTTGACTGGTCTTGTTACGGAGCACAGGAAGCACCCCCGCCCCCCAAGCCGAAAGACTGGAGAAAAACTGAGGGTCTCTAGGTTCTCTTTATGCACAGCTTCTCACGCGAAGAAAATTAAACAAACCGGGTGTCTAATTGGTGGTAAATTCTAGAGGGCATCATGTGGTTGTATCCAATCAAAATAAGTGTATTTGAAAAGCCAGGATTCCATTGGCTAAAATAAGACTGGAATTTTAGCCAATGGGACAGCTTTATTTTGGCGCCGCGTGAGGACTATAAGTAGTGAAGCTGTGTCCCATCCTACACACCCACATTCTAGTCCCTGGTGAGTTGCTTCTTGTCGTTATGTCTGGACGCGGGAAGCAGGGCGGCAAAGCTCGCGCCAAGGCCAAGACGCGCTCGTCGCGGGCCGGGCTGCAGTTCCCGGTGGGCCGCGTGCACCGCCTGCTCCGCAAGGGCAACTACGCCGAGCGGGTGGGGGCCGGCGCGCCGGTGTACCTGGCGGCCGTGCTGGAGTACCTGACGGCCGAGATCCTGGAGCTGGCGGGCAACGCGGCCCGCGACAACAAGAAGACGCGCATCATCCCGCGCCACCTGCAGCTGGCCATCCGCAACGACGAGGAGCTCAACAAGCTGCTGGGCCGCGTGACCATCGCGCAGGGCGGCGTCCTGCCCAACATCCAGGCCGTGTTGCTGCCCAAGAAGACCGAGAGCCACCACAAGGCCAAGGGCAAATAAGGTCTCTCTAGCAACTTGCAAACAAACCAAAGGCTCTTTTCAGAGCCACTCACTATTTCCGGTAAAGAGCTGGGACAGTAGTTAAGGGGAAATTCAGTCCCCCACTCATTCTTTGCAAGTGAAATCGAGAGAGAAACTGAAAAGGGGAAAGGGTAACAGATGCAGGGTTTTAACTTAACCCGCAGTGTTGGCTGACGCAATTGTTCAAGAAGAAGGGCTCGACCTGAGCGTACAGCTGTTTTCAGAAATCTCTGGGTGGCTCTGAAAAGAGCCTTTGGGGTTTTGCTGCCTTCTCAAAGGCCAACTTCCTACTTCTTTTTCGGGGCCGCTTTCTTCGCCTTGGCAGCCTTGGGCTTCGCTGCCTTGGGCTTGGCGGCTTTGGGCTTGGCCGCCTTCGGCTTCACAGCCTTGGGCTTGGCTGGGCTCTTCGCCGCCTTCTTGGGCTTGGCGGCGGCCTTGGCCTTCTTGGGGCTCTTGGCCACCTTCTTGACCCCGGCAGCCGCGGGCTTCTTCGCCTTCTTCGGAGTTTTCTTCACCGCCTTCTTGGCTCCCGCAGCCTTCTTTGGCTTCTTGGGGGTGGCCCCGGAGGGCTTCTTGGCCTTCGCCGCGCCCGCCTTCTTGGCTTTAGGCTTGGCCTCCCCGGAGGCCGCCTTCTTGTTGAGCTTGAACGAGCCCGAGGCGCCGGTGCCCTTGGTCTGCACCAGGGTGCCCTTGCTCACCAGGCTCTTGAGGCCCAGCTTGATGCGGCTGTTGTTCTTCTCCACGTCGTAGCCGGCGGCCGCCAGCGCCTTCTTGAGCGCGGCCAGGGAGAGGCCGTTGCGCTCCTTGGAGGCGGCGACCGCCTTGGTGATCAGCTCTGACACCGGGGGGCCGGTGGCCTTGCGTTTCGCCGCGCCACCGCCCGCAGCTTTCTTGGTCGCCTTCTTCTTGGCAGGTGACTTCTCCACCGGCGCCGGGGCAGCCGTCTCGGCAGGCGCGGTTTCCGACATGGCCAGAGGCAGGAACTGCGAGAGGAAGAGAGACTCAAAATCCAAAGAGCAAGTCGTGCAATGCCGCCCGACTCCGGCCAGGCGCTTATATAAGCCGGTGGCGCTCTGTGATTGGTGGAGCGTCCAATCCACTGCCCTCAGGCAGCCGCCCTTCGCGGTTGGACTCCAGAACTGTGTTTGTTAGCCCCCCAAATTTGATTAAATGCTGAAAATAATTGTACAGAATTTGACGCTTTGAAGCTGTAAAGGAGGAAAGCAGCCTCCAGGTTCACATGCTGGCTTGTGTTTTCATGAGTCCTGCGCAACAGATGAAAGATATTTTTAAAAATCTTTTCAGCTTTTCACGTATATCCACTGGGTTTAAGGCATTGTGCTAGTTTGTTGCAAGTTGCAATAAGTTTCTAGGAACTATCAAGTGGAGATTTTTTCAAAAGCTTTGTCCCTAGGTTCGGCCTTTGATTTTTTGCTAGAGGAAGACCCAGGTTTCCTTGGTTTGGACATAAACTTTGTTTCCAACTGTAGCAAGTAACACAGGGGCAGCGCAGACAGTTGCCTGCAGCCCCAAATTCACCACATACACCCCACACACCCCACTTTCAAAACCAGTTCTGCTTCCTAGGATTTTGCAGGTGACAATATCTCTAGAGAATGCCTTTTGCAGCTTGGAGATGTTCAGTAGCCAGAATGACGTCTACCTTGCAGCGGGAGGAAGAGGAATGACTTTGGCTTCAGGATCCAATGACCTGGATTCAAATTCAAACTTAAATTGAGTGTGTTTTGTTTTTGTTTTTGTTTTTATCGAGATCCTTTCTCTCTTTAGTATTAGGAAAATCCATGATAATAAGTACAAAAATTGCCTTGCCCGGATAATGTGCTTTAGGAAAAACTCAAACCTGCTGAAAATATTCAAGGGGTTCCAGTAGTCCTCAAAAGTACAGACTGTGTAGATGACATGGGACTTTGTCCAGTTTCCAAGGTGCTCTCCCCAGTGCTCTCATTCAAACCCCATATCTCCATCAACATTTAATAAAGTACACTGTCAGGAATACCCTCTTCTGTAAGCAGCCAGGAGACATCAATGTGGGCATTTTTGTGTGTTTGAGCAAAGGCAGACCTGTATTTCAGAGAAATTGTTGACTATCAACTATGAGAAGGGTGGGAATTGAGGGACTGCAAGTTATAGAGGTTCAGAAGAATTCAGGAATACATTAGCATCCAAGAGAACTGAGGCAGTAACCTTGAGGTTGGAACGGAGGGAGGATATGTTTGCTTATTTGTTTGGGAGGAGGGTGAGGTGGGGAATGGATAGGATTTTGTGACTGGCCTGGATGAGAAGGGAGGTCTAATGATTAGAATCTCTACTGCAATCAACACTCACCTAGTTCTTCCCTGTGACAAACTTTAGGGAAGTTTAAAGTTGCCAACGTATTTCTCCCCAAAGAGCTCCTGGAGTTGAACCTGTAGCCAACTTAAGGCCAAATCGGGACAGTGTCGTTTTCTGTTGCTCTCAAGTTAAGAGTGCTTTTTAGATTTTTTAATTGTGTTAAGAAAAAAAAAAAAAAAAAAAA